GAGGGGGGGAGGGGGGCACAATTCAGTAGAACAATAGAGGTAAACATTAAATACTAAGCAGAAGTTTAGTTATTGTTGCTAGCCCTAAGTTGGACAGTAGTCCAGTTGCCAAATCATTGCAGACAAACTTTAGAGGCCTTTTTATCTACTTGAAAAGATAAAGATTTTTCTCTACTCTGGATAATCTGAAGGAATAAAGTGAAGGCCCTATGGAGGTGCAGAAAATGATACTTGAATATCCGGAGATATGAACTTGAACAATCTATTAGGAAAAGAAAAGAGACTAAAACACAGAATGTCTAGGTGCTAGATTTTGTTCAGAAGGCTTTAGACATCCATGACATTGTGATTGATGACCTTGATGGACTTCCATTGCACTATAAAAGGAAAAGAGAGGGCGCAAAATCAATATATTCCCCTGGCACGTTGTCCTATGGTTCATTTCCTCTCAATTAACCTAATAATTTCATTTGCTGATGGCATGTTGTCCTATCACACCTTGATAATGTAATTGATGCACAAAGGCAACTTTTAAACTTGAAGGGACAAGCCCTTACTGAATGTGCATCAAATTTTATACATGAATTATCTGTTATCTGTATGTTCAATGAAAAAATATTTCCTCAAGAAGAAAGAAAAAAATGGATAAGTTTCCAGAGTCCAAAAAATAAGATAAGAAAAACAATCCAATTAGATATCTCATTAATCAAGAGGCATGGAGTTTATACCTTAGTCACTCTGAGGTTCTCAGGAAGCTTCAAGGACCGGCACTGTGATGGTTCAGTAATTTCAGTGAGCTTCCATATCTTAGATTTATCATTAGGCTCTTCAACAATCCTGGGTTTTACATCCACTGTATTTCTTGCATCTCCATTCTTACAAAGTCAATACAATGTAAAGTATATATTAGCAGATGATATTGACATGAAAACCAGGTAAGACTTCTGGTGTGTCCACCTTTGAACAACAGAACGGGTAACTAGGGGAAAAGTGAGTGTTGATATGCATATATATAGTTTTTCCCATGGGCCTACGATCTGATATCAATAAATAAAAACTTCTTTGCATATTTTACATTTGGGAGTAATATTTACAAACCATTCCGGAGATGCCAACACCAGAGGCCACCCTGTCTGCAAATCCAGAACTACTTGCTGATATTTGATTTACTGTGGGCTGCATGACAGTAAAGCAAAGCATATCCTGGTCATCTTTGTGTTAAAAAAAAGGAGGGAACCTGAATATTTATATAAATGGGGTTAGAAGTACCTTTGCACTTTCAGATGCCCTGGAAGCATCATAAGCTAGGTTCTCAAAAGTACGAACTAAACGAATACCATCACTATTGGCCAAAATCTTTATACCATTTTCATTAGCAGAAACAGCCAATAGAGAACCGTCCTTGTTAAATCGAATTCGAGGGCTTGCCTTTAATTTATATAAAAGAAAAAGCAGTTAGACCATAGTAGAATACAACAATTTTCTCAGACAATCTCAAATTTAACTTACTGGAAGACCTCCATCAGCATCAATACTGGTCAGGAGTTGAACATGGTCCATATCCCAGAATTTGATCGAGAAATCATCACCAGCTGCCAAAAATCTATTTTTAGTTGTATCAAATTGTACAACACCCAACGATCTTTTCCGAAAACCTAGATATGTTCTCTTGACAGCCCCTTCACTTTCGTTCCACTCAACAATGTGTGACTCCCCATCTTTGCTGGTTCCACATGAAAATAGTCTGCAATTTTTCCACCCACCCACCCCCATCCAAAAGGGAAAAGAGAAAAAGAGGAGGCAAAGAAGAAGAGAGAAAATGTGAGATCGGAGAAAAAGCTATTGTCCCCAAGTGACTTCAACAAACTATGTAAAGTAGAGATAATGCAATGCAACAACAAATCAACCTAGTTCCGTCGGCACTGTATGCCATTGTCGTGCACCAACGACCAGGAGCATCATAATCTACTCGAGATCCCAAATTATCATATAGCCATGCTTTTATCTTTCCATCTAATGCTGTTGAGAAAATAAACTGAAGAACGGAGGTTATCAGCACAAGTACAAATGTGCAGACAGCTAAACCTTTTGTAGTGTACAAGAGACATCATGACGTCCCGATCAACAACAAAAAAAGACATCAAGATGATATCCATACCTGAATGTTCTCTTTATGGTGAGGGCACACAGAGTACACAGGAGCCTCATGACCCTCAAATGTGTATTGTTTTGCACCAGATGTGGCATCCCAAACCTAGAAATTAGCAAGCGTTGGAAAGAACTAGCTATTAGTCAACTGCCAAAAATTGTCGTTCAGAGGCAACAAATACATTTATTTATGCCTAGCCAACCTTTATAGTTTTGTCGTCTCCACATGTTATAACACAAAGCTGCTTATTAGGGTGAGAGAATGCAAGATCATTTACGCCTCCAACATGAGCATCAATCTGCAAAAGCATTATCAGTCTAACCTGCAAACTTATTCAACATTTATCACTAGGGCAAGAGTCATGGAATGCCACCACAGTTTACCTCCAAATGCTGACGAATATCATCATTTCCATGATAAGAATATATTTGAACAATGTGCCTAGAGTATGCAACCCCTGCTCAATAAAAAGATAGTCATTCTCAAAGATCATTCAACTTCTTTTGACGGCGAAATACAGTAAGATTGGAAATGTGCTTTTCATGAAAGCTTACCAAATAATGAACCATCGGGGCTCCATATAACACGGTTAACTGAGACACCAGGATCTTTTACCAAAGCAGTCTGAGTTCAGTTGGGAAATTATTTTGATCAGATTAGATGAATCTAACTGAACTGAGGCGGATCAGTTCTGTCTATGGAAAAAAGACCAAACCTGCAACGGCATTGAACATGCACCCAAGTCCCAGACTTTGAAGTTTCTCAACACCAGTCTCTCCCTAGAACCAACTTCCCACAATGCAATATCTCCAACATTTGTGCCGACTAGTTTGTCACACAGAAGGATATGATTAATGCAAACAACCAAAAAGAGCCAAAAAGTAGGTAGACACCAATATGTTAATAAAGAAGAGCATTCAGATGATGCAGACCTAGAAGCAACGTCTGCTGAGAAGGATGAAAATCCATGCTCATGGGAGATGATCCCTGGTTTAATGTTCGTGCAACAGTCTTGGGCATGTCATCAGGTACGCTAAGCGCTTGATTATGACCTTGCCCTGGAAATGATATAGGCAGCACATTGACAGGAAGATTAACCTGTATTATGAACAATTAACAATAAGTAAAAACAGTAGAAAATGTGAATATTGCTGACTGAATGATTGAAAAATCGGGAGAGTCTACTACCTCGTCAGATATTCCAAGTGACCTAGTTCTTTTGGCAACATGATCAGATTCCCCAGATGGATAATCCATGGAAGGATTTGTTGGTGGAGTCCTAGGATGTTTAAGGGAAGCTACAACAGGTAATGAAAAAACTCACCAGTTAAAAGAGCAAGAATAACCTATAGAAAATCTAATGGAGTAGTTGTTTCATGTGAAGGCCAAACTCTCTTTTTTTCGGGGAGGGGGCAAACAAACTTGTTTCCTAGATCTCAATACGAGTTCATATGATTTATTCAAGAAAAATGTTCAGAAACACAATTTTTCAAAATTGACCAGAACTGGAAAAAAAATCACAATTCTGTCTGTATGCAGCAATAAGAGGTCAATAAATTCCTCATGCCAACTTGCGACCAGACTGTACTAATGTAAAAGCACTATCATCATGATTAGGTGATAACTGATGGCTGAACATGTTAAGCCTTTCTTTATTCCCAATTGCATATCTGAACATACTTATGAATGCCATCAACCATGTGAAGAATGATTTGTAACAATCAAAATGCTCGATAAAAAAGATAGCACCAAGTACCGGCATATCTCCATATTCAGTTGCTTACTAAGGGAAAACAAAAGATCCATTCACCCCATCTAAGTAACCATTAAGTGATACCTGGAATAGATGAAGAACCAAGACCCATAGGTCCACCAGAAACTGCTGGATGAGCTACAGTCGGTGCGTTGGACATCCAACCAGCAAGTGGAGCTGCCACAGGTGGTGGCCCAGGTTGGAAAGGCTGAGTAAAGTTTGTAATAGATAAGCAAAAATCCTATAGGTTCAACATAATTAGCAAGTAAGCTCTAGAAAAGACCAACCCCATGTGCACCAAGAGGAGGAAAGCTGCCAGGTTTTGGCACTGATCCAAGCAACGGATTGTTTGCAGGTGATGGAGCACGAGCACCATTTGGTTGTCCACAAGAATGATCCACAAAAAGAGTTTTAATATCTGGATTTGGCCTAGGATTTTTACAAAGTTGGTGCTGCCAATTTAAGCTGCAGCATGCATTCGTCGTCAGTTCCCAATTTATAAAAACCTAGTATTGCTAGTTTACTTGAATAATCACAGGCAGGTTACATTGATGGTGACTAATACTTTCATAATTTTAAGCTAATTATTTGGACCAATATCATGAGTTGCTTACAATGCATAGCAACTTTTTAGGTCCAAAAGGACCTTTAGCTCAAGTTGTGATGTGCACAAGTAAATACAAGATAGCTAAGTTAGGCTTGGTAGAATATGCTCTGGTAGTGCATTTAGGCCACTATGGCTTTCAAAACAAATGCTGAAGTTTCACATGGATGTCACCTTTGGTTAATCAAAGTTCGCAATCTTGAATTTTTGAGGTTTGGAAACTGCAATTTGTCACGAAACAATGGATTTGCTTCAATAAGCTTCTTGAGCTCAACCAACATGATAGCCCGTGCGGATTTAGTATCCCCATACTTGGACAGCTGTTCATTCTCCCTACAAATTGATCAAGCCACTTAATTACACGTTTAAAAAAGGTAATATATTCATACCCCTCCAAAGAAAAGGGTTTTATCTTCATTGACAAATTATATGAAGGGAATACCTGAAATTCTCTAGTGTTAACAGCTGAGTAATCTCCTTAAAAAGGTCCTCATTGAACGATGCAAAAACTTTAAGATCTTTTACAAGAATTTCAACACCCTTGGACCGGTCACGCCTATTACAAACTCAAATTACCCAATTTCATCAATATGTAAAATCCGGGGAAAGCAAAATTATTCCTCAAAAAAGATAAAATCTTACTTGTCCAATGCCTCAAGATACTTTTGCTTCCTTATTTCAAAGAAAATTTTCATGGAATAACGGTTGTCGTCCACTTTGGTAAAACCAGACAGATACTTTTCAACTTCATCCCAGTTACCATTATGCACTTCATCTTCAAAGTACTTCATGTTAAAGAAAAAGCCAGATTCTTGTTCAAGCCTATAGCAACAAAACAAAAAGCAAACAAAAAAAGGCATTTTTAGCAATGTGAATGTGGAAAATTAACTGCTCATCAGTGTTTAAATTTTTAAAATGGAAGCATTAGAAATTGAAAAAAGGTACATACTTGTGGACAGATTCTTTGAACTTTTCCTCATCTAGAAACTGTAAAATCAAGAACACAAGTTCTCTGCTGAGAGATGACATTGCAACTGCTTTGTCTTCAAGCCCAGAGGAAGTATGAAAAAACCGGTGCGTTTGCAGATCTGCAAAATTCCATAAAATGAATTTCTTAACTAAAAACTCCAGAGATAGTAAATAATAATAATAAACAAATAACTAACCCATATGATTAAATATGTTGTCCAGCTCATACTAACTTTATATTTAACCATTAAAATATCTAAGCATTTAATAATTGCCGGACACAAGCCCCGAAACTCAAATAAAATAAAGTAACTGTTCAACAATTTAAACTAATCCCAAAAATATTAAAAATAAAAAATGAAAAAACTAAAAGAGATCCAAAGAATTTAAACACAAAAAAACTCAAACCAGAATCCGATCATTGAACTGATCTTCTTCAATCTAACGAGAAACACAACTCCATTTAACATTCACCGACGCAGCTGATGTAAAAGTAGAATCACCCAAAAGAAAAAGAGAAGATTTTTTTTTCACACACACAAAAAGCAGCTTTAAATCGAGTGAAATCGAAGATGCAAAGTTTGTGGGGGGGGGGGACGCAAATGAAAACCAAAAGCGAGTCAATATACAGAGAGAGAAAGTGGAGAAATTAAAGCGAAAAGCAAAGACTGGGAAAAAGTAAATATTCCATAAAAATCTATAGAAACACATATACTAAAAAAATGTAGAGTGGGTTACAGAGAAGAGTAAAGGGGGTTTACCTTAAAGAACAAATAGATCCATGGAAGAGAAAAAGAAGAAGAAAACCCAACAAACGACGAGCTCGAGGAGAGGCTGAATTGGTATATATCCTTCTCTCTCTCTCTCTAAATCTAGAAGTCTATTAATGTGTTTCCTACTACCCCTTTTTAATCTCAACTCTATATATCGCGAGAAAATGAAAATATACCCTTTGCCCACATTACTTGCAGGAAAATTGTGGTTTCTACAAGAACACATAGTTGACGATAGGCGATTTTAGTTATCGGATAAGTAGTTCTTCTTATCATAGAGAAGCAGGAATACGATTCAATAAGTACAGTATTAGTGGGACCGACAAAGCCGGCTACATTTTGTTCGAGTTAATCGGCTTCGATAACCCGCTGCAAGCTGTCTACACTTCAGCTCGAATACCATTTTTTCATTTTAACTACTTCCTACTGTCCAAACTAAGTGATTTTTTTGGTTGTTTTCACAAATATTAAGAAATTCACCTTTTAATATTAATTAGCAATAAAATTGACCATATTAACCTTCACTATCTCTTCACATAAATATTCCTAATACATACTCCAACATTAATTACTCCAAGGGCAATGTAGGAAAAAAATAATTAATTCACTCTTGAAATCTGAAAAACTCACTTATTTTGGACCACAAGAAAAAAGCCAAAAGATCACTTATTTTGGGTCGGAGGGAGTAATTCATTGTCACGTCGTATTTAAGGCCTAAAAATGTCACTCAGCTAACATAAATGTCGTCCTATTCATACTACTAACCTTATACTTTTGGCCTATTTATGCCATTGACGACTAACAGTTCCATTTTCTATCTTTTAAATAATAAGAATTAATTTTTCAACCCCACATTTGCCACGTGTCTTTATATTATTGGTACTTCTTTACTTGATCCTACATTTTTTTTAACCCTAATTATGTATAATTAACCATTCCCAACCCGATAAAATCCAACCATCTTTTAACCCAACCCCTAATTTCTTGTCACGATCCAAAATCCAACTAGTCGTAATGTCACTTAATCTAACCCATTAGGTAAGCCAATTAATAACTATCCAATTTAATGAGAATTTTTTTAGACAAATAAATGATAAAATAACTGAATCTTAATACATTTTCCAATGACTGGTAATACAAATCATGAGCTTCTAAGATTTACATTTTTACAAACTGAATTGAAATAAACACAACATCGGTTTCAAATAAATACAAATCACTAAACACCGATCTTATCGGGTCGTGACAAGGAATTGGGGATTGGGAAAAGATGGTTGAATTTTATCGGGTTGGACATGATTAATTATACATAATCAGGGTTAAAAGAAATGTAGGGTCAAGTAAAGAAGAACCCATAATATAAAGACACGTGGCAAAGGTGGGGTCGAAAAATTAATTCTTATTATTTAAAAATCAGAAAATGAAACTGTTAGTCGACAATGGCATAAATAGGCCAAAAGTATAACGTTAGTGGTATAAATAAGCCAAAAGTATAACGTTAGTGGCATGAATAGGGCGACATTTTAACGGATGCCATAGATAGGCCATTTATGTTAGTTGAGTGGCATTTTTAGGCCTTTTTTGTATAAAATAATACTCTTTGCGATTCATTTAAATTGATTTATTAACTGTTTTTACACATATTAAGAATTTTTTTTTTAATATTTGTTAACAATGAAATTAGTCATATTTAATTTTAATTTGTTCATTAAAAATATAACAAATACTTCTAGGCTCTTTACTCCAATTACAACTTTAAAAGAAAAAGTTACTCTCCTTTTTGGTATTCAAAAAAATTAAATATTATGGATCATAAAATAAAAAAAAAGCCAAAAAATCAATTAAATTATATACGGGAGAGAGTAATGCTTAATAAAAGGAAAAAGTTGTCCGAGACCTATAATTATGAAATTTTATTTATGCCGCTACGAAACTTGATTGATTAATTGGCACGAATATTGAGTAATTGTTTTTTGTTCCTCGAGTATTGACTTGTTACAACGATGCTCTAGTTAAAAATATGGTTGCCACGTTGCACTTGTTTGGACGCTTTGATTTTATCCAGTTAATTTCCCTAATTAGTTTTAGGAAATCAACGGCCAGAAATTAAGGAAAGCATACAGCAAAGGTAGCTGATTGTGAGAACTATTGAATTGGCGAAACTTTACAGACTTTCAGATCCTCTTCTAGGAAACGACGAAATTTCTCTCATGTGGCTCTTAATTTTTGAGGTTCAAGTTGAGCTAAGATTTACAGAATTGCCATCCTACTCATTTAAGTGAAAAGGACAGCCTATTTATTCGCGATAAATTTGTGATATTTTGGAAGAATTAATGGCTTGAAAATCTCAAACCTAAAGGGTTTTTTAATGGGTCAGAGAAAAAGACTGAAGAAGAGTGTGTACGGTTTTCTAATTTATTCGCGCGAGTAGGAATCTAATGGGTTGATGAGTTCCATAAACGGCTTCGTGACTTTTAGTAGTGAAATCGATAAATAAATGCATATTATCCAACAGCATTAAAGAATCATTGAATGGCCGTTCGCTCACGCGCCTAACGGTGCATCTGCATGTCAACTACCATAATAACATTTTTCCTATTAGTCTAGAGGCGGATTCAGAATTTTAAAATTATGGGTTCCAAGTTAATGTACAAATTAATTGGATCAACAAAGTGAGCTACAAGCTAAATATTCTTATATTTTTAATAAATTTTTTAATATAAATACAGAATTTATGCAAAAATTATTGGATTCACGAGAACCTGTAAACTTTGTATTAGAGCCGCCCTTATCAGCTTATTTATATGACAATATAAAAAGGTTGAGTTTTTCTTAATTATGTGGATTCTTTATTCGGATAACATTTGTAGTATTGCTCAGCTTAATCGATTCAACAATGAGTATTATGTGATATAGGAAATACATCTGCCTACATACTTTTTGTTTTATAAAATATATTTACAATTGTTTACCTTTAAAATCGGGTAACAATTAAATTTATAAGTGGTTTTAAATATACATATATTAATTTGACACAAATCGATGAATTGAATAGTAACTAAAGCGAACAACGGCAAAATAAATTCAAATCGTGTGACTTGAACAGTTATAGCCTTGGGAAAATGAGTCTCACTTGAACTGGATGCAATTCAAACGATATCAGATACAAAAGAACAGTAACTTGCAGAAAGAAAATAATGTTATAATACCTTGAGATGCGTGTAACAGTGTGTTTTACAAATAATTGGATCCCATTTATATAGTAGGGGAGTCCTACTTTAGGTACAATTTTATAAAAGGTAAAAAATCCCATGATATGCTAATTAGCCGGTTCCTCATTGATACGTGCCGAGATTTTCGCCTAATACCCGACCGGTTACGGATATTTCGTCTTCCGTTATTGTAAGGCCCCGTAAATTTTTTCCTAAAAATCGGGATATCGCGATGTCGAGTTAGGATTATGTGTTAGAGATTCATGCAATTCTTTTGGATTAAGCTGTGCATTAAAAAGTTAAAGGAAAATGTTCGTAGAAGAATGCGTTTTTGCGGCCCATTATGCCGCATAATCACTTTGCGGACCGCTTCTTGGTCGCAGAGTGAGGAAGAAAACTTGGCCAATTTTGAGGCCGATTATGCGGCCAATTATGCGATAACATAATCACTTTGCGAACCGCATATTGATCGCATAGTCGTCTTGGACTTTTGCGAAGGAAAGTTCTACATTGCATTATGCGACCGCAAAATAGGTATGCGGACTGCATGCTGGTCGCAGACCTGGACAGAAACTTCAAGCCCCTAAGGGCTGTCACACCTCCTTTTTACCTACACCCCTGGAAGGGCGTAAAAGAGTTTTTCCAATTAAAGGACAATCGAAACGGGATTATTATTAAAAGATTCAGAGTCGCCACTTGGGAGATTTATGGTGTCCCAAGTCACCGGTTGAATCCCGAATCGAGAAAAGGGTTGACTCTGTTCAACAGTCCGCGAATCAGAAATCCGAGTAAGGAATTCTGTTAATCCGGGAGAAGGTATTAGGCATTCCCGAATTCCGTGGTTCTAGCACGGTCGCTCAACTATTACGTTGGCCTAATTATCTGATTAATCACATGTTTGAGCCTATGATGCATTGTTAACTTATTAACCGCTTTTAATCATTTTAAGGAAAATTGAACGTCGTTTAAAACACGTCTTTGGATCGCGCCACATGAAATGCACCCGCAATCCTAAACCTATTTTATTCAACGTTTTAAGATTTGATTTGGGTCACATAAAATGCGCACCCGAGTTTAGGAAGGTAAATTATTAAAATAGCGCGCCTAAAGCAACTACACGCTTTAACTTTGCGATGGCCATGGAAAATTCGCTAAATGGAACACCTCGAACTCTAAGGATCAAAATAAAATTAGTTACACGAAGGTCATGCAATTGTCATTTTTGTTTGGCACGGCACACCTCGATTTATTCTAATCAAGAGGTTTCTAAATTAAACATAAGGGCCACACACTATCTTCTATTTAATAGCACATCTTGAAATTATTTAAGAATACAACTAACTAAACATTAAGAGATGGGGGATTTGTTCAACTTAGGCGAATAGGCCTTAGTTAATATGGACTAATGATCAGAAAACGGGGCTGAAGTGGCGTTAAAAGGATCCAGATCCTATTTCTATGCATTTGGGCCCAAGGTGAGCCCAATTGCAAATCACCTGAAGCTGCAACGAACTGGACTCACTATCGAGACCTTATAGCGTGCAAGCAGGGACCGAAATAACGGGAATTGATGCTGAACTAACATAGACACAACAATTTGAAATCACCCTTT